GGAATTAAGGAATTGAAGTAAGGAATAGTGATTAATGGTAGTTAACTAAACAAGAATTTAGTTTGGGCCTATCACCAATATTATTTCCCGAAATAAATATTTCGGGGCGGGGCGTGACAAGAACAGTCTTCCCCCATCTTTCTTGTAATGCTTTTTTTTTCCTTCTCATTAGTACTACAGTTTAGTGGTATTCATCTTCACTTGTAAGCAGTGGCAAAGCCAAGATGTGTCAAGAGGAGGAGCAAAATTTTGAAGGGTAAATGATCCCAAGAAAATGTAGACAACCAAATCCTTTTAGATAGTAGACAATATTACTGTCGTTCTTAATTTATCAATATAAACAAGTTACAATTATTAACGACGAAGTTTTACGTCAATAAAACATCGCATAATAGGCTCATCATCTATAAAAGCAAAGACATATTTCTCAGTATAAACAACCATGCTATCATGTAATCATTGATCTACCATTTCATCATTCCTTTGATAAGTGATCAAACTTATTCTCCAACATTCATGAGTGAGGGGACTACTTAATACATCCCAACTTAGTGAGTGACTTTCATTAAAACACCACTATTTTCATGTTATTTTTCTAGATAATGAGCTCCATAAGACCACTTCAGGTTCGTGACAATTTCCATTAGGAATGGTTTCTAGATAATGGCGCATGGCATGTTGTGTTATTATTTAAAAAAATCCTAGCTCAAATAAAAATTACATAGACAATTAATAATTAATATATAATTGATAATTTAATAATACAACATGTCGAATCATATTACAAGAGAAACGTTTTTTTTCACATGCCTATGTATATTAAATGTATTTAAAAAAATTTACGTTATCTAGTCAAACTCTTTTTAATTAGGCTCCTAGCAAATATTTTGATTGGTGGTGAAAAAATTTAATAAGTATAGGCCATATATGGCATCCAATTAACCTGCTAATTGGATTTAAAATTTTAGTTAGGGAAACTCTCACAAATAGATCACTAAAAACTTGACCTTAACATGTCATCTCATCTCATATCACCACGTAAGTTGTAACCTAAAAGTGAATGAGCGGAAAATCTATGCAGATCGCCAGATGACCACAAAGTGCGTCAATATGTGTGTGTATATGGATTATGGGTCACCTGCTGTTTTGTTCTTCATTTTAACAAAACAAACCAGTTTCATTTAAAACTTTCTTCTTTACTAACGTTGTTTTGGCCTAGATTTCTGAAAAAAAAGGGATCCGTTGCCATTGCAACCGCAATAGAGAAGTAGTAGTAAGTAGAGGGGTGGAATCTCGCTTCTAGGCTTGATTTTTGTCGACTGAAGGTGCAGCCGCACCTCCTTGCGCCTTTGCGGCTACCCCATTGGAAGGACATATCATTACTCCTAGGCTTCATTTCTGGTGAGGGAGGGGTGGCCCCCTCTGTAGCTTTGTATGTGTTTGTAAATGAAAGATCTTAGGTTCGATTATCATCAAATGTGAAATTGGACTACATTATTGCTAGTGCATTATGAGACTAAGCTTCCTTCATCTTTAATGTAGATACTATCAGTTGTTCAACAAAAAAAGTTTTAAGAGAATTTGAAAATTACACTTTTATTACAAATTCAGTCTTCTACAAACTAAATGGGAAAATACCTTTAGTTTTACAAAAATAATTAGTAAAACTCGTAGACATGGAGATATTGGTTCATACTAAAAGCATAGTACCTCATAGCCAAATTAAAAATTTAGAAAACAAAGCGAAACAAGATGTACAACAAACTTGACTCAGACCTTTAACGTTTACCTGGTTATCACTACTCTTTGGTATTATTAATAAATGAATGTGTAATTTTGGACTATCTTTATAACTTCATCTTGTTGACCAATATTCGACAAACGAATGTTGTTTAATAATGATGGAACATTCACCACTAGAAATTTTTTAGTGTGATCAGCACACAAGGTGGTACATCATGTGTTACTATATAAATAGTTGAATATGTATGTTAAAAAGTTAATAACTTAGATAAAATTTTCAACCATTTGCATAAAAATATATGGTGTATCATTAATGTTTCCCATCACAATAAAAAGTTTATCCACCACCACCCTACAAAAAAATAAAAAATAAAAAATATCGATACAGATGAGAGCCATCGCTCTTCATTTCTATTCAATATTGTTTTATTATTATATTAATGTATTTTGGTGATTAATTTTAGTATAAAACCGCGGGAAGATATATTGAATATTGAATCGAGCAAAGAGGGGTCCCACGCTTGGGTTTGTGGACCGAAAGCAGCCACTACGGAAGGCTGCGAGCTGGGCGTGTCCCCACGGCGCTGCAAAGTCCATGCCGATCGAGCCGTCCAACCTTTTTTCTTTTTCAATTCTTGAAAACGACACTGGGCGGCAACTGGGTCGGTGAAATAACGTGGGTCCATGCACCCCTATTTTGAAGAGACGATGATTCTCTCCGATCATTTTTGTGGGATCTTCTCCGGATTTTTTTTATAGGGATTATTTTCTGATTTTTTTGTGGGATCCTATCTTGATTTTTTTTTTTTATTTGGTGGGGATCCTATTCGGATTCTTTTTTTGCGAATCCTAAGAATTCTCATAGCTTAGCTGTTCATCATACATTATGCGACCATTTTTTGTTAGGTGCTATTTGTGTTTAATTTTTAATAAGAAATTCAAAATAATTTATGACCGCACGATGTACGATGAATGACTAGAATATGAGGATCCTTAGGATCCTCACAATTTGAATCCGGATGGGATTCAAATCCATTTTGGATATCAATTTGTATACTATAGGTTGCTAGTCCATTGTGATGTTATGTTCATTCACTCTCCCTTAGTATAGATAATATTGATTGTTAAAAAACAAAAACAATTGCTGTATCGTCTTGTAACAAGAGCACAAGAATTTTTTTTTTTGACAATGATATTATATACGTTAAGGAGGTGGGGAGTGAGTTAAGTCTCACAATGAGCTAGTAATAATGTGGGTCAAATTCGCCTTTGGTGAGAATCGAACAAAAAAACTTCTCGCTTACTAGTAAAGAAATACCACTAAATCGTAGTACTAAGTGACTTTTTTTTTTGAACAAACGATATTATTTACGCTAAAGGAAAAGGGGTGGGCTTAGACTTATAATAGGCTAGCAATAATGTGATTCAAATTCACCTTTGGTGAAAATCGAACCTAAAACCTCTCACTTACAAGTGAAAAAGAATACCTCTAGACTGTAGTACTAGTTGTCATTTGATATAACTAATTTCAGTTTTGACGAGAGCACAAGAATATGTGTAAAAAAAAAAACACAAATTCTCTTATTATTAACCTAAAACACCAAATGTTGGTGAACTCATGTAATATACATTTTTTCGATAATATAATATTTAGTTAAAAGTAAAAACAATGTGTAAAGAAGAAAAATATGTGCAACTATAATCTTCCAAAATAATAAAAGAAAACTAATGAAAAAGGTTTGAAAACTTTGAGTTTTAATGATAAAGATAAAATAAAGGATAATATGAATAGTATCATGACTCATTTTTTAGTGTAAAAATATAATTTTTAGTTAAAATGAAATATATCATGTGCTTTTCGTTAAAACTTCCAAATAATAATTCACTCTTTTCAACTTTAATAATTCCGTAAGTCATCATGTGTCATAATTGCCTCGAGAAATGGCGACCAATAGCTAAAGGCTTTATGAAATATATGCTTGTCCTCTAATTTGTATCAATTTTTTGGAGGACGGGGATTTAATTAAATTGTGGAACATGTTTATGATACGTATAGTATACAAGTTCTTTTGTATGTGTGTATATAAAGAGCACACACAATATTTCTTTTTCAACCATCATGTTCAATTAAAATTTGATGCATAGCATGCGTACTAATAAGTGGTCTAGTAGAAATGCCGTAGAATTCCATGTTAGTAATGTTCTATGATTTTGTGTTCGAGATGCGAAAATTGACAACAACATGATTTTCTAGTTGAAAGCTTTAAAATGAGGTGTGCCATTTAACAGTGGTTAGGGATGCCAAATGCTTAACAAATGTACAAGATAAATCTTTATCGAAAAGTATCGTCTTTATCAAAAAATATAAATAAAATCAAAAGTAATAACTCTCATCTACATCTCTCTTAAGTAAAAAAGAATATAATATGATTTTTCTAATATCAAATTTGCATATTTTCATTGGGGATGCTTTAGAATCCTATTTGCCTTAATACAAAGTTTGAGCAAGTGATCCTTTACCATAGTGGTGGAAATGTGTTGAGCCCTTGTATGACTGACAGTGGATTCAAGCCTGTCGATGACTAATCTAACAAAATATATCATTTGACAAAAAAAAAAAAAGTTTGAAAAGCTTTAACATCAGAAACAAAATATTCTTAATGTTGAATAAATTAATCAAAATGATTAGCAAATACCACATTTATAGGTAAAACTAGCATATTTTCACTACAAGAAAAAAATATTGGTGTCTATTAAATTTAGTGTTTAAAATATCGATATAGGTGGAAATATCGATATACAAATTTATAGAAATATCGATGGATATAACGAAATCGATATCAGTTATCCTCAACAAAACTTATAAAAATTTGTAATTGGGTGGGTCAACTCATTTAGATTTAATCAAAATGACAATAATTTCTCAAAAAAATTCAAAAGTTCAAAATCAGCAATATGTTCTGGTGGAATTCTGTAGTGAATTGGTAAATATTATTAATATCCACTGATTTTCTTACATCTCGACGATATAAGGTAAAGTTTGCATTTTACCTTTCTGTATCAATCATTTGATTTTTCGAATATATTACAAAAAAAATAACAATTTCGTGAATATTTTAAATACTAGTTAAATTATTCAATCAAGTTGATTGGAGAAAGTAAAATGAGGGAATTTAAAAAAAAAAAAAAAAGTTTTACCTATTAAAAGAAAATGATTTAGCCAAAGGAATCACCTAAAAGTAATTAGAGGAACAAAAGAAAGTCACGCACGCCCACTTTTTAAGAACAAAAGCTCAAACTCTCTCTCCTCTGCGATCGCTTGCTCTTTCTCTCTCCCTCTCTTCTCTCTGCTCCTAACCGATCTCTTTCTCTCAATCTCGCACACATTTTGAAGCCTGTCATCTCAAGCTCTTCGAGGCCAATCTCGCCCGAAAATGGGTACCTTCTCATTCCTCCGATCCACCTGATTTATATTACCCAAATCATAATTATAACCAGACGTTTATTTATTTATCCATTTGTTTAATTTTCCGTTTTGCATTAATTAATTGCGATTTACCACTTGATTGCCATCAATTTCAGACGTTTATTGATTGTGATACAGAGAGCGGTCATGCGTATATAGCATTTTCTACTTTGGGTTTCAGTTTTTGTGTTTAACTGTTCGTGTAATATAACTTAATTTAGGTTGATTTGATTGATTTTGCATCAGTTGGATGCAAATTTTGGGGTTTTGAAGGGTAGATTAAGGGGAAATAATTGGTTGTAAAAGCCCCCTTTTTTTTTTTTTGTTTTTGTTTTGTTTCTGTTTGGTTAGTCAGAAAGTGTAGGAAAACATACCAAAATGTTTTCTCTTTTATTCATTGAGTTAAGCTTGAGATGCCGGAAATGTAATTGGATGTTAATCTGGGGATTATAGGATTTTTTTTGGCTTAATTGAGGTCAGTTAGATTAATTTGTTACACAAATGTAATTGATTTAACTTTCTCATCAGCAATGTAATATCGGGGTAAGGTTAATTTGCATGATACTTGCAGATCAGTGTAAAAAATTTACCTTTCTAAATTCAAGAACTAAAAAAATTATGTTTTTGTTGTGATGTACAAAAGGCACGCAGAAATATATATGATTGGATGAATTTTTAAGAGTAATGAGAAAATTGGTGGCTATTTTGTTTGATTGTACAGTTGGTCTTTGTTTATTTTGGCTTTTTATAAATGCTTTCCATGATATTTGAATCAACAAACCTAATGTGTGCCAGATTGAATTCTTTATCTGTTTCTTAAGGACATTTTGTATCGTTGAAATCCATGGATTTTGTTTCTTATCTAACATTTGAGCACACTCTCATCCAGCAAAAAGTGAGGAGTGCTGCTCTACTCAGCTTCTTGACGGGGATGGTACATTCAATGTCACCGGAATTGATCAGTTTATTAAGGAGGCAAAATTGGCTGAATGCGGACTTTCTTATGCCGTTGTCTCCATTATGGGACCACAAAGTAGTGGTATGCATTCATTTCCTCAAGCATAGCATATAAGTCTTTATTTTTCCCGGGTAACTTTGTTGAGGGTTTAGATATGATGAAGTGTGTTTTATTAAATTATTGTTCAGTATATTGCTACCTGTTTGAAGTTTAAATCAGACGGAGAAGAGTTTATAATGTGCTTTGGTAATTAAAGGCATGAATTTCTATGGAATATGTTTTCTGTTTTCAAATCTGACACTGATAAGCTATTTTTTGAGTTTAGCTTGCATGGAGGAATGTCATATTGTCTTCTTCTTCCTGAATATATGTTAAGGTTTCACTTAATTTTTTTTTCCTACTAATGATCTGGCCAGGAAAGAGCACATTGTTAAATCATTTATTTGCTACCAACTTTCGCGAGATGGATGCTTTTAGAGGAAGGCAAGTTCTCATGATGCTCAATATTAAATTAGTTATGTTTTTATTTTATGATCACAAAATGTTGGGCGCATTTTTTTTTTCCAGGTCGCAAACAACCAAAGGTATTTGGGTTGCAAAATGCGCCGGCATTGAGCCTTGCACTCTTGTAATGGATTTAGAGGGTACCGATGGAAGAGAACGAGGAGAGGTGCTTTTTACACCCCACTTTAGTTATCTTTAAATTATCATTAATGGTCATGCTTGGATTTTATCATCAAAACCAGTTCTCTGTTATATTCTTCTGTGCCCTTGTAGCTTAAAGAAAATCAATACTTACTCTATTAAGTAAGAGTAGACGTTGGTAATTTGACTAGCAAATAAATGAGAAAACGGAAAGGAAAAAGTGTTATCACTTAGGGATTTATCATTGTTTCTCTCGTGCAATTGTACATTTTTTTAATTTTGAGTGTTGTGAAGCCTTCAAATGCTATGATTCCTTTGCTGCTATGATCAATTAATTTGTGGAATTAATAGAGGATAGTGCCATTCACACACCCTTTTTACCTCCCACACACCATTGTTAACTTTTGGCCATTGATCTTCTTTAATTCATTTGATCCGATGGCTGAAAATGGAAAGGGGGTGTGTGAGAAGTAAAAATGCGTGTGTGGGTAGCACTACCCTTAATAGAGTGCAACTACCTGACAAGTTCATTTTTATTTTATTTTATAAAACACTGATCAGTGCTTTTCTATTAAAATGATCTTCAAATTTAATGCATCAATCTCAACTATAAGATGGTAGAAAGTGGATTCGCAAATGTCTGTAGTCTTTATTAACTATTCCATGCTGTAATGCATTATTCTGTGAACATTCTTTTTCCAGGTTCAAGTATTTTAATATGGAATTAGGTTGTGTAATTTAATTCGTTTATTTTGAACTACATTACTGTAACATTTGATCTAACTGTTTAAACAGTTCTGGACAAGAATGACATAATTGTTTTGATTATTATTATCTGTTTTTCTTTTCAAGGATGATACTGCATTTGAGAAGCAGAGTGCCCTCTTTGCTCTTGCTGTTTCAGATATAGTGCTCATAAACATGTGAGTTTTTCTACCCTTTAAAATATTTTTTAGTCTAACCATGTCAATATGTATTGCTTTATATCCTGCTTAGTTGCTCTTAATTAATATATTGTTTGGGGTTTCATTTTTCCATAATCCATGTGAGTTATTCTCTAAAACAATTTTTATCTTCCAGGTGGTGCCATGATATAGGCCGTGAGCAAGCTGCAAACAAGCCTCTCCTGAAGACTGTGTTCCAAGTATTTTTATACCTAGCTTCTGTGTTTAAGCAGTTAGTATAAATGTCATAAGATTGCTTTTGTTTTTTTTTTTTTTTAAATTTTTTAATTTTTTATAACTTTATGCTTGACTAACAGGTGATGATGCGATTATTTAGTCCGCGTAAAACAACCCTGATGTTTGTCATCCGTGATAAGACAAGGGTTAGTTCCTCTCTTCTAGCTTCCTACGTCGTAGCCTGAGATGGAGTCAATTTTACTCTGCATTTATTATTCATATTTTAGTTCCTGTTGCATCACTTTGTTTCTTTGTATAAGTCTTTTCAATTCTGGGTTGAGTTTTTGATTGTATCCTTTTCTCTGTTTAGACGCCGTTGGAAAATTTAGAACCAGTGCTTAGAGAAGACATTCAGAAGGTAAGTGATTTATTTCTTTACTTATTATTTTCTGACTTAAGTTGATGTTTATTTTCAACCTTCTTTATCCTTTGTTGCAGATATGGGACTCTGTTCCTAAGCCTGAAGCCCACAAGGAAACTCCACTAAGTGAATTTTTTAATGTAAGATGCCAATACTTTTTTGACATATGAGCATAGACATGTACTCATTTTTGTTGGCTAAACTGTTAAAGAATGACAGTAATTTGATGTTATTGTGGTGAAAACTATGAATCATGTGTATTGACAATGTTTTGATGATTGAATGGCTAGGTTGAGGTTGTTGCTCTTTCAAGTTATGAAGAAAAGGAAGAGCAATTTAAGGAGCAGGTATATGTCTATATGTGTGTCTGTTGATCACATAGAATTATTTTTAGCCTTGTATCAGGTTAAATTAAAAATTTAATATTGGTTTCTTTGTTCTTGGGATACAATGAACTTTAGCTTTTTGCTAGATATAGCTATCTAACATTTTTGTTTTCTTTCTTTGGTAAATTATGTTTATAAATTAAGGTTGCTAGCTTGAGGCAGAGATTTTATCATTCTATTGCACCTGGTGGTCTTGCTGGAGACCGACGGGGAGTGGTTCCTGCTTCAGGGTTTTCGTTTAGTGCACAACAGATATGGAAAGTCATCAAAGAAAACAAAGATCTTGATCTTCCTGCCCACAAGGTAACCCTGTGAATATATTCTCACTTATGACATTCATGTCCTATGCATGGTATTTTAAATAAGCCATCTTTTGTTCAATCATTGTAGGTCATGGTGGCTACTGTACGTTGTGAAGAAATTGCAAATGAGAAGTATGCTGCTTTTGCAGGAAATGAGGTATCTATTTTCATATGGTACCACATTTTTTTATTCTTAAAATCTTGATGCTATAAATTTGGTGGCCCTTGAACTCCTAAATTATCACAGGAGTGGAGTGAGTTGGATGAGGCTATTCAGTCCTGGTCCTATTTCTGGCTTTGGGAAGAAGCTCAATTCAATCCTTGATACTTATCTATCAGAGTAAGTATCTTCATCTGATTTTCTCGGCGGCAAAGCTATAGAATACATTTTGATCTAAGGAGAGAGAAGTTCGTTAACTGTCTTGTGCTAATTAGGTAGCATGCACTTTCTGTGAACATCTAGAATTCACTTTGATGGTCACGTTAGGTTTGTTGTAGAAACTTGCCTCTAGGTTCTGGATTATGGTACTCATGATACACAAGACTCTTTAAGTGAGCCTCATTTCAATTCAACTGGAAGATGGGCACTGGTTACACTATGGTTTTTTGTTATGTCAAATACCAAAAGCGCTTTCGGAATAGTGGGTGATCAAGTGTTAGTCCGTGCTATTGGTCAAGGTTTTTCCTTTGTTTTTTGGGTACAAGGTTGAGGCCTTGTAAAAGACGAATGAACAATACACAAAATGGTAATAACAGAAAGAGAAAGAATCTCATTGACACAGTAAAAGGGGAGGAAGAGAAATAAAGTTGGCTGCTTTATGTTTTATGTTCAGATTTTTCGTTAAATTGCTTGTTAGAAATGTGCGCGTAACTTTACCTTCGCTTTAATTGTACTGAGCAACTTCAGGTTTAAGGTTTCTGTTGCAGTTCACCTTTTGCCTTGTGTGGCTGAATAGTTCTTTGTATTTAGTTGATTAATATGTTTATTTGTGCAATTTTAGGTATGATGCAGAGGCTATATATTTTGATGAGGGTGTCAGAACTGGGAAGCGCCAGCAGCTCGAAGAAAAATTGCTGCAAGTAATAATCTCGATGTCATTTTTGTGCTAGCTATGCTCCTCTTTTGTTCCCCCTCCCCCCTGTAGGGCCTGCTGAGGCTATGCAGTGTTGCATATTTTGTAATTTTTTTGCCTATAGAAATTGAAGAACAAGTTATGTTTGTAGTTCCTCCTTGAATCTGCTATACATGTCAAATGTATTGGAAAACAAGTTATTTTTGCCTACGGAAATTGAAGACCAATGTATAGTAAAGCTTTTTGAGGCCTTCCAAGAGATTAAAGTTTAACTTGTTTTGCATAAAATTATCCCTTTTGTATATAAAATGAGTTCCAATACCATCTACCTTATTCATGTCTTTGTTCTCTTATTCACCTTTTCTGCCCTTTTTTCTAATCTTATTTTTCCTTTATTGTTAGCTTGTCCAACCTGCGTTCCAAGCTTTACTGGGACATATAAGATCTGGTACTCTGGATAAGTTCAAGGAAGCATTTGATAAGGCTTTGAAAGGTGGGGAGGGATTTTCAGCGGCTGCTCATAATTGCTCTCAGTCCTTTATGGCTCTGTTTGATGAAGGATGTGCAGGTATGTTTTGGGAATTCCATTTTTTAGCAATAGCTGAAAATTTAAGAATAAATAAAAAATTGAATTACAAAATAAGAGAAGCCTTTAAGTTGATTAAAGAATACATAACCAGTTTGGAATGTATCGATGTACACTCCTCAGAACACATTTAAAAAAACTGAATTACAAAATATGAGAAGCCTTTAAATTGATGAATCGAAGAATACATAGGTCACGAAACAGTTTGACATGTACTAGTGTACACCTTATAACACGTTCAAGGACAAGTTGAGTAAAGTGTTTCTTCCTACCAGAGCCAATGTGTTCTTAAGGGGGAGACTTCAAAATAACAGATTTTTGAATTGGCTCCACAGACTTGAATACTCTTTTCTTGAATATCATTCAAAAAAATTTCGGATTGCCTAGTATTCCACCAATTAGTAAACCAAGATTCTAGACTTTTATTAAATGAGAGAGAGATCCACCAAGGCAAAAATACTATAGATGCAAGATATATAAGGGAAATTAATACTTTCTTTTTTGCCATTTTTTCGTCTGTGAATTTTAAAATTTTTAATGAACGCACCTCATTCGTCGACTCTATATGATACTAATATTTCTATCAAGCATAAGTTCTATTACAAGTCATCGATGTATTTCCGGATTTTTTTGTGATTCAGTACAGCGGTTAGTCCTTGAATTTAGAAAGAATATAGAATAAGAAAGAGCCCTCTTCAAATTTATAGTAGTCGGATTTCGAGACGAAAGAACTCCCGTTCTATCAAAATATCAAATATTTAGAAAAAAAATTCTTTACTTTATGATGAAATGTTTTGTTTTGATATATGATGAATCTATCATTTCGATTTGTTACTGAATTGAGTTAAGTGGATTTACATACGCATAAAAAAATTGTGGACATAAACAATTTAGTTTTAGAATTGTTTCATATACGTTTGCTTTGGCTCGAGTAAGCGTTCTGAAGGAACTTCAGTTAAGTTATGCTATAGAAAAAAAGATGATTCTTGAGTTTTTTATCTCTTGCAAAGTATTCATTCATTCTTCAGTTCCTTTTTCATGCTTTGAAAGTACAATGTAATATTAACACATTATTTTTGCAGATGCTGTTATCACACTAGCAAACTGGGACACATCAAAAGTAAGGGATAAACTTAAACGAGATATAGAAGCCCATATTGCTTCAGTTCGTGCTGCTAAGCTATCTGAACTTACTGCACTTTATGAGGTATACTGGCATATTTTTTTTCACTGGTCCTTGTGGAATGATTGGGGTAACGGATAATTAGAACCCAAGCAAAATTAGAGTGCAGAAGGAAATTAAAAGGGAACTGGGATCAAGCAAAAACTTATATGGTTTTGACCTATATTTTTCTTGATTGAATTATCTAATGGACCATGCTGATAATTTGACTACATTTTCAGTCAAAATTGAAGGATGCATTATCGGCACCAGTAGAGGCTCTTCTAGATGGAGCTAATAGTGAGACCTGGCCCTCAATAAGAAAACTTTTCCGGCGTGAGACAGAATCAGCTGTCTCCGGGCTCTCTAGTGCACTTTCTGGTTTTGATATGGATGAAGAAGCTAAGGGCCAAATACTTGCAAATCTGGAGGCGTATGCAAGAGGTGTGGTAGAAGCTAAAACAAAGGAAGAGGCTGGAAGGGTTTTGATTCGTATGAAGGACAGGTAGGAAATCCTTGCAATGGTCACATTCAGGTGTCTAATTGTTTCAGATTTTATCATATGCAAATTAAGCTTGAATTTGCCCATGGTTCTGAGGCGTTCAGTTGTCTAAATTTGAGTTTATCTTATGCAAATTTAGATTTAATTTTCTTACAGGTTTGCAACAGCACTTAGCCATGGTTCTGATGGTTTAAAATTATCTACAGGTTTGCAACGTTATTTAGCCATGATTCTGATTCAATGCCACGTGTCTGGACTGGGAAGGAAGATATTAGATCAATTACCAAAACTGCTCGTTCTGCGGTATGTCACAGTTTCTGTATTATCTGTTACATTTTGTGTCTGAATTCTCCGTAAAGATTTCTCAACTATATTTTCAACTTTTGCAGTCCTTAAAATTGCTTTCTGTTATGGCTGCAATCCGTTTGGATGATGAGGGCGCTGATAATATTGAGAATACTTTGTCCCTTGCCTTGGTGGATTCCACAAATGCTGCTGTTAAAGATCGGAGTATCACGACCGCTGACCCACTGGCTTCAAGCACTTGGCAAGAGGTGGTTTTTTTATTTTTTTATTTTTAAATTTCAAGCTTGTGAATTTTTAATTTGTATTGCAGTGTCCCATCTTTTGTTTATTTTAGAGTTGGCTCAAAACTGAGCGCGGTGGCATTGTAGGATTTATATAGCCGACCCCGCTTAGTGGGATAAGGCTTTGTTGTTGTTGTTTGTATTGCAATGTCCCATCTTTAAGAAAATAGTGTTAGCATTGTCGGGAAACTAAAAGGTAAAATTTAGTAATGACATTGGCCTACCAGTCAGAATGCATATGCCAAAATATGACATTTAGTATATGGGTGTATCACAAATTCAAAATACAGCACTGAAAACTCTTATAAAAACATTTAAATATTATGCATATGCATGCACTGGCCCACCCAGTTACCTGAGATGATCTAGATAACTTAAGTAAAATATGAAATAGGAGAACAGAAAACTGAAATAGGGGAGGCATATATGGGTGTAGTGACTAGTCACATTACTCATGATTAAAATTTTCTTTTAGTAACTACAACTACAAGGAGTTACACTTTTTTTTATAGTGGTTAAACAGGGGTTGTACATTAACGAAAGACAACCAAACTTAACAAAAAAATTTGCAAAGTAAAAGACAGTTAATAGCCAGGGGTTCAGCTGATCCCGGAAGTCTTAGTCGGGTTTGGCAATGTATTCTTTTATGTGCTCGTTCTGTGGTACTGCTGGTAGCCCTTAGTTTTTCATGTAAGCACCAAGTAGCTTTTGTGACTTCCCTCTTATTTGCAGATTTCAGCATCAAAAACATTGATCACACCTGTCCAGTGCAAATCTTTGTGGCGGCAATTCAAGGCAGAGACTGAGTACAGTGTTTCTCAGGCTATTTCTGCACAGGTATGATACAATGCTTGCTAATATATATGTTTTGTTTCATCCTCCATCTGCTATGGTTTCTTATTTTTCTTAATGGAATCCATGAACTGTTTTTTATTGGGTCTCCTATAAAGTATTATTTGGTGGGCTTTTATTGTTATACTGTGTTTTTGTTGGGTTTAGATTTAGATTGTACCATTGCAGTGCATTTACACCTTTATTGACCTTATGCCTTGCTAGATTTTGTTTAATTTAAATCAAATGGGTCATTATTTTTTCAAGAGGTGTTTCAAACAGAATTTCTTAATTGAATTACTCATGTAATATTTCATCTTTTGTTATTGTTGGTAGAGATTAGAGAATAGTTCTAAGGAGTTAAGGAGGTAAAACCAAATCATTATAGAGGGCCGCTTAACTTATATTTTGCAGCTGAGTCAATGCTTGCAGTTTTGCTATTGCCCTGCATAAATGGTTACTGTTACTTGGAATACATTAGATTCAAAGTTTTTAGCCACGGTTGAGATGAATATATTGAACGATACACGTGATATAAATATTCTTATCAATAGCTCTTCAATTTAGTATTTCTATGAGCTTAACTTACTGATAGTCACACCTAGTCCATTCCTTATGCTATTTTACTTTTCAGGAAGCTAACAAGCGTAATAACAACTGGTTGCCACCTCCGTGGGCTATTGTTGCCTTGATTGTGCTGGGATTCAATGAATTTATGACACTTTTAAGGTACATACTTTTGTGAAGGTAGATGATGATGCTGGTGCTCTACCTTTTATTTTATCCATTACCACCATTCTCACTATACCTTCATGGCAGAAATCCTTTCTATCTGTGCGTCATCTTTGTGGGCTTTTTACTCGTTAAAGCCCTATGGGTGCAGCTAGACGTCGCGGGTGAATTCCGCAATGGTGCTGTGAGTATCAAATCACAAGTTTATCTCCTCCCTCATCCCTTCCCAAACTATTTAAGATAGGACTCCGGTCATATAATACGAATAACAACATATTGTTATTGCAAAGGGTTATTTAGAAGTTGACTTGTAATCGTGTGATACTGCGCCTGCAGCTTCCCGGGCTTCTATCCTTGTCGACCAAGGTGGTACCAACTATCATGAACATGATGAAAAGACTAGCAGAAGAAGGGGCAAAGCCTGCAGCTAATGATCCTCCGAGGAACCCTGCACCAGCATCAACAGGCTATGGGAAAGAAGGGAATTCTAGCAGTGAAATGTCATCAAGTGGCTCATCTGGAGTGACAGAATCTGAACACTCCAGCTCCTCAAAACACGACTAGTTTAAACAATCTGAACAAAGACTGTTTTTTCTGTTTGAAGATTCTGGTGTTCTGCGTACTTAATGTAAGGGTGTTAAGTCGCGTATCATCCTCGTATATTAGTTCTGTGAGCTTGTATGTTACCTTTGCAAGCGTACAGCAGTAATAGTTTTGTAGGCATCATTTTTTAGCGAGTGCCACATACAAGGGGCAGTTTGTTGTTTTGAGGAAGCCCCATTAAGCATTTATTTTGTCAGCATAGGTGTTTTCTTGTTTATTTGGTGTTGGAGGAGCTACTAAAGGCTCCTTTCAGTGATCGATATTGATATCGATCACGTTCGTTGATTGCATCAGTTTTGTATTGCTAAAGTTGTAACCATGCTTGGTGTTGGAGTTAACTGAATATTGGCAAGCAATTCACTCAGTATTTCATGTGTAAGAACACTCCTTTGGATAAAAGCTTATGCTAATTCTTTTTGGTAATTTTATGTTTTCCCGGGAGAGAATCCTAGTTTTTAGTTTCTGTTTTTTTACTCTTATGTGTACGGTAGTTTTACTTTCTTCCCACCACTGCTATTTTTTTATTATTTTTTTGTCAAACGATCGATTTTGTTAGATTAGATGTTAGATTAGTCATTACTGGGATTTGAACTCGCGCCGTTATGTAAAGGATCACACATTTCCATTAAGGGGCCATTTGCCCACCACTGCTCTTTCTCGCCTCCTAACCTCGTTGTCTTAGTCATCTCGCGCTTCAAATTGCTCTCTTCTGTTTTCGACGAGTTGCTTGACTCAAGGCTACGAATTGGAGCCGGTCACCATTTTCCGACGGAGAGATTATTAATGGCCATCCTCTATACCTTGCGGCTACAAACTCTGAATGTGAATTATAAGGGAGTCATGATTCTATTTGGTAACATTTTGCAAAACAATTTTTCAAAATGTGTTTGGTGTGTTCAGGGCCGGTTTTGAGATTTTTTAGGCCCATGACGATGCTATCATGCCCTAATTTCGTATAAAAAAAAATTATTTGTTTTCATACGTAAGATTTCGATAAATTTATATTATAGAGAAGCACATCAAACTCAATAATTTAGAAACACAAAAAAGCTAATTTATTTTGTATTGTGACAAAGGGAACCAAAAAAACTTCGGGTTTACAAATAGATAGATAATGAGTTTTGTTTCCCTTCTATTTGAACTTTTAAAGTGTTTTTTTATTTAAATAGTAAGATGTTTTTCCTTATTAACATATGGGACTTAAAAAACAATCATATCCTTTGAGTCTTTAATTGATATGTATCAGCAATGAATGAGCACCAAAATTAAACCTACTATCGATAGACATACATACATTAATTTCTTGAAGGTTAATGCTAGGGATACCAGATTTATAACCATATGATGTGATTGTTGATGATTGGATTATTAGTTAAATGTTAATTAACGTGCTTATCTCTTATTGGTGACACACCTTATTGTTTGCAAATTTAGTCTAAAAACTTGGTCTATTCATTACTCTTTGTTGAAGTTAGACTTGAATTAGAATGAATGTCTAAAAACTACAATCCACATAGCTACTAGCTAGTAATTAAAAATAAATCAACAACCAAACAGACATTTGTAAAAATTAGAAAGAATAAAAATGAACATAGCATTTCAAACTTAGGACCTCTTGTTAATTTTAAACAACATGTACAACTACTTTTGATTAAACTTCTTGATCATTTAACCAAATTTTATAAATATATACTCTTATGAAAAGAAATTTGTAAAAATTGGAAGGTAAAAAAACGCACATAGAGTTTTGAAATCAAGACCTCATTGTTAATTTTAAACAGCATAAATCATCAATTCCAGTTAAACTTATAAATCATTTGACCAAATTCGATAAATTTGTACCCTTACGAAATAAATTCGTAAAAGTTAGAAAATAAATAAATACACAGAGTTTTGAACGAATGATCTCCTTGTTAATTTTAAACAACAAAAACCCCCAGTTCTAGTTAAACTTCTTGATTATTTAACCAAATTTTATAAATTTATACTCTTATGAAAATATATATAAATATACCACCCTAATAATTTTGGCGCCCCCAATTTTTTTGAGCCCCGAGATCGCCCAGCCAGCACTGGGCCAAGGCGGGCCCTAGATGCGTTATAAATAACAAATATAGAAAATGAAATACACAAAATATAATATCTAGTCTAAGTTATGTAATTTATCATATTGATGTTTTTTGTGTGTGTTTTAAGAATAGTTTTCAAATACAAGGTAAAACACAAGATTTACGCAATAAAGTTAAGAGTTTTACTATCATCACAATCAATATCTCAACCAATTCCTGCCGCCTCCACTACCACCACCATTACCACTGCTATCATCACCCCACCACCACCATCACCATCGCCAACATATTTGTCATCACCATCTCTCACCACTACTGCTGCCATCATTGCCACCGGCACCATAACCCCACCATCGTTGCCATCACCACAACCACCGCCAACCTCCTTGCCATCACCACCTTCCACCATCGCTACCACCGCTACCGCCACCACTAACACCATCACTGCCACCACCACCAACATCACCACTATCTTCATCACCAAACCCCCACCACCATGGCCACCATCTCCACCATATCCCCCGCTAGCTCTCAACCACCATTGCCACCACCACTACTCACCACAACCACTCACCGTAACCACCACCATTACTCCTCGCTACAATCACCATATATGGCACCACCACTCCCACCACCAATGCCTCGTCCCCACTCCGTGATTGCCATTAACCATACACCATCAACACCATCACTCGTAACCACCATCTATATTATCACCACCACCACCGTTTTATAATTATATAACATAAACAAAAAATAAAACACTAATTATTATTTTTTACATTTTAATATTTGTATCAAACACATTTTCAATGTTTACTTTCTCAAAAAAAAAAAAAAAAAATCTGGGATTAATTCACCAAACGCATTTAATTGTATTTGTTGTTTTCATTTTACAAATCAGTTATTCATACATTGTTTTGTAATACATTACCAAACATGCCCTAACAGTCTTTTCAAAATTCAAGTAATGAATATTGTATCAATGCTCATTAGGGGTGGGTTCGGTTTGATTCAATTTTTTGCCAAAATCGAAAACCGAATTGAAATTACTATTCGGTTCGGTTTTCTATCGGTTTGTGTTCGGTTCAATTTTTCTCAGTTCGGTTTTTTTTTTTTTTTTTTTTTTTTTTTTTAATTTTCCATAGCAAAAAAAAATTGAAAGAAAACAATTTGCAGCCATTTTGTAATACATCTAGAGGAGTATAAATAAAATCAAAGTCCCATTTCAACATAGATAAAATAAGCATTCCGAATTTCTAATAGAATCAAAGACAATGAAAATAAACATTCAAAGTTCGTTTGATCCTGAGGGCTATTTGATTTTGATCTCATTGAGTTTGAACTTGAGCTTGAGGCCCTTGAGACCTTTGACGCCTTTGACTTCATCTAATTCACACAAAATAATAAGAGGATAGCAGTTAGTACTACTACAAACTTATACACAAGTAAATTGGTGCAGATTCGGTTATTGGTATAAAAGTTAAAAAATTATGATTTAATCTTATGTGATCATTTTTCAAGGCCAATGATACAAAAATGCAGCAAGAATAAGACAGAACAGACCTATAAGGTGTATCCTGTGATAAACCAAATGAAATCAAGCATATATCAAATGATATGTAAAATCCACTTAACACGAAAACCCCCTCACAAAATCTGACTCGAAGGCACTCTGGTTTAACATATCTACCAGACAGACACAACAAGCATAGGTTTACATGAAGAGGAAAGACCAACCAGTCATGTTCCTATCTCCGATTTTCCATTCATTCTGATGCAGTTAATGACTTAGTTTATGCCAAACCAACCATTCATTCTGATGCAGTTAATAACTTTACCATCAAATCAAAATCAACATGTATAACCAACAAGGAAAGAACATAAAAGAAAACCCTCATCTGTTCACACCTCTCTACATTTCATATCTCTGTGATTACTTCACGTTTAATGCCCTCAATACAAACCGTCATTCATTTTATATCCTAATTCTCTCTTGGAAGATCAAATATGCTAAAAATAAGATAAAGTTGTTGTTGGTGGGTAATACTGTGGTCGAAGGAATATGTTTTTACTGTAATTATGGTTCTGCATATTGGTCCACCTAATTGCATAATAAAAGACCAGTTACAGATTCTCATAGGAAAATACGTAGTGTAAACTGTAAACCTCTTCTGAGATTATAAATTTCGAGGAATGATTTGGATGAACTTAAAACAAGAGTGCAGAGCATGAAATCAGATAATAGTAACCACCAATAGTTTTATTGTGTACATATACATCTAAAATTCAAAGCAATACCCACAAACAGGTTCTCAAAATCCCAGAAAACCATCAAAATCTTCAATCAAGACAAAGAATAATTAATCAAATATTACAATTTCTGAAACATGGGTATTCTCTGATTCTGCATGCAGTTTTAATGATTGTTTTAGTAAAGACCTAAAGATATATATCATATGGCTTTGACGGAAGAGAAATGGACGCCTTCATAGTTAGGAAGTGAAACATAATTTTATTGTGACTACAACAATGCAACCGTTATCTCACTACGTGGTTAATCAGCATAAATCCAGAAAATAGACAAACAATCACATTGAATTTTAAAGGCAGATATGGAGTCACAAAGTCCTATCCTTCTAACCATAATTTGAAAAGTGAGTAGTAACGGTAGAAAGAAACCCAGAAACAATCACACTGAAAATAAGCACACTGTATGAAATTCACAAGTCAATAAAATACCAGATCTGGAAGAATCGGTAAGCAGAAGCCCATATACATGTGCTTTCATAGATCTCAGTCAATTCATAACACTAATAAATCCAAGAGTAAGTAGTAAATGCAAAGTATGAAATGAATCATTCTCTAATCAGGGCCAATTTCAATAGATAAATAGAACAGAAAAATTAAACACAGAGAAATGAGAGTATGAGACTAACCTTTTGCAGTCGAGACTCGAAACGGCAAGAAGAAGCTCACAGCGAGATGAAAGACTGACGGCGAGGGTGAGGTGTGAGAGATTGAGAGTGAGAAGGGTCGGGCCGTCGCGGACTCGCGGGTCGCCTGAGATTCAAGACTGAGAGAGACAGAGAGTGATTGAAGTTGAAGACTGAGAGAGAGAGAGAGAGAGAAGGCTAACCTTTTGCTGTCGAGACTCGAAACGGCAAGAAAAAGCTGACGGCGAGATGAGAGACTGACGGCGAGGGCGAGGTGTGAGAGATTGAGAGTGAGAAGGGTCGCGCCGTTGCGGGTCGCCTGAGAGATTGAGAGAGACAGAGTGATTGAAGTTGAAGACCGGGCGAGAGAGATAGGAGGCTCAGGCTGCGCGAGAGGGTTACTGGGTTAGGGTTCATGAAAGGAATCTGGAGGCAGGGAACGAGAGAGAGAGAAGAGGGGAATGAAAAACAGATAGTGTGGCTGCTACTACCAGTGGCTAGGGTTACAAGGTTTTGTTAATTTCCTCATAAAAATTAAAAAACTGAAACCAACTTGGCAACAGGTTTTGTTTTGTTATGATTCTATGACTAAACTATTTATAAATATTAAAATATATATATATATATCAGTTTGGTTCGGTTTTCGAACCTAAAAACCAAAACCGAACTGGCCAGATTCGGTTCGGTTCAGTTTGACAGTTTCGGTTCGGTTTTTTTCGGCCTCGGTCCTGTTCGGTTGTCGGTTTTTTCTGTTTTCGGTTTTTTGAACCCATCCCTAATCCTCGTAGCATTTTTCATGTCCTTAGTGACTGCTTTTCATGTGGTTTTTTCTACAATCTTTTACTTTTCTCGGCACTAATTCTTTGTTTTTTTTTTTTTTTTTTTTCTCTTTTCTATAAAAGGTCTACATATAATGCATGCAGGAGCTTCTTCCAGATCATACAATTAATTACAGGGACCAGCCCATATTGCGTCACAGACCATGCAAGCCTCACAATCCATTTTTCCATAAATACGAATGTCTCTAACTTCGTGCCTTTCCAGCCTCATCGACCATTGAATGTAAATGATACGAATACATCGTCGACCGTTCAATCATTCAATGAAGAATTTAAGGAGATGGAGAGTACGTAGCACTATAGCAGTGGTCGAACAAGTTTTGTGAAGGAAATATATAGGTGCCTCCTAGAACACGGACACTTCAAACTTTGTTCTTATTTTTGCTTCTTTACGTGTGATTCAATCTCTTAGTTCATATGCTGATAAAGTTAGCTTGTTCATACCAGAAGCTTGCAGACATTTACTCCCAGCAGTTATGACTCTTTTATCTTCTCTGCGATGCATGGTTGCATGAGAAAGAAAAGATTAAGATCTGTAATCCTGTTGACATCGACGCATAAAAATTACGAATGGTTTCTTGTTAGATATACGGTATTCCTATGTTGTCGGAATCATGATTTCGTATTTAAACATATGCTTAATTAACAGACTTGAGTCATGGTCAAATAATATAATATGTTCGATGTACCATCTCATAACGTAACATGTTAGATTGTCTCGCGAGGAAAAGAAAACATATACTCTCATTTGATGAGAAAAGGGTAAGAAGCAGTATTTTATTATGTTGGTAGGGTACGTACATTTTGCTTTCGGAAAAATAGGCTAGAGGAGAGTTGAGTTTTCCGATCAGTTTGAAAGATTCGAGTTCATTCCAACACCAGAAGCTGCTGGTTTGGTTAATGTGTGCAGACACATAGTTGGCTTGTCTATTGCAAAAATTTAGAGGTTGTTTGTCTGTTTGGTGAGCTTTTATCAGCTAGAATTGAAGGCAGGCTTCACATAGAGAGGCATATATTGTCATTGTGGGGTAAAACCCAGCAGACCTAATTAGCAAAGAATAATTGAATAAATAATGAGATGAGCTATGTCCAAATTCACGGCTGTATACAGAAAGGCTTTGTCCTGGCCAGCTAAAACTCTTTAAAACTTATCAATGTGCATAACTAGTTAACCTGCACATTCATAACCCTAAATATTTGAGGCTCTTTCTTTCTTTTCCTCATTAAAATCAGCACTATTCGTTGTTAATAATACACTCCACTAAAACTCAGTTATTAGGGAATCACATAGAGAGGCATATATTGTCATTGTGGGGTAAAACCCAGCAGACTTAATTAGCAAAGAATAATTGAATAAATAATGAGATGAGCTATGTCCAAATTCACGGCTGTATACAGAAAGGCTTTGTCCTGGCCAGCTAAAACTCTTTAAAACTTATCAATGTGCATAACTAGTTAACCTGCACATTCATAACCCTAAATATTTGAGGCTCTTTCTTTCTTTTCCTCATTAAAATCAGCACTATTCGTTGTTAATAATACACTCCACTAAAACTCAGTTATTAGGGAATCACATAGAGAGGCATATATTGTCATTGTGGGGTAAAACCCAGCAGACTTAATTAGCAAAGAATAATTGAATAAATAATGAGATGAGCTATGTCCAAATTCACGGCTGTATACAGAAAGGCTTTGTCCTGGCCAGCTAAAACTCTTTAAAACTTATCAATGTGCATAACTAGTTAACCTGCACATTCATAACCCTAAATATTTGAGGCTCTTTCTTTCTTTTCCTCATTAAAATCAGCACTATTCGTTGTTAATAATACACTCCCCTAAAACTCAGTTATTAGGGAATCACATAGAGAGGCATATATTGTCATTGTGGGGTAAAACCCAGCAGACTTAATTAGCAAAGAATAATTGAATAAATAATGAGATGAGCTATGTCCAAATTCACGGCTGTATACAGAAAGGCTTTGTCCTGGCCAGCTAAAACTCTTTAAAACTTATCAATGTGCATAACTAGTTAACCTGCACATTCATAACCCTAAATATTTGAGGCTCTTTCTTTCTTTTCCTCATTAAAATCAGCACTATTCGTTGTTAATAATACACTCCCCTAAAACTCAGTTATTAGGGAATGAACTACCACTGCATAATTGTGTTCAACTATGTCCTGTATGTACTCACAGATGAATGAATCGTGAATTAGAAGTTTCGAGCCCAGAACCTCCTCCAAGAGTTCGATATCATTTTAGACAGTCGTTCGAGTTGCTAGGAAACGAACAACCATGTATATCACCACAGTAAAAAAAGGAATTAATGAAAGAGCAATGCTTATTTCTTGAGTATGTGCAAGATATCCTTTCAACAACAACCACCATATTTGTTGAAACCAGAAATTGACTAGACGAAGTGGGATCTTGGAATTGATGAAGGCAAATTGTACTCATCCATAAATGGTCATTAATAGGGTACCTTAGAGCTGTAGTTGATTTTGAACAAGAGCTACCAACGGCATGGACTTATCTCGAGCCGTTAGCTAGCTGAATTTCTATATTCCCATGAACTTGTTTCCATTCCTTTGATGATAATCAAACTTGCTACTCTAAAAGAGATCGATCGCTTTGATTACTATACTTCTATATTAATTAGAGACTTCATCTTTCTATAACATCAGATAACCACTAGCACAAAAAGCTATGTTGTTAAGAAATGAGCTAACAAAGTATAACAAACTTATTTACACTATATCTTGATTTATGTTGTTAAGAAATGAGCTAATAAAGTATATCAAACCTAATTACATTATATCTTGCGTGCATAGTCATTATGCACGTGAATATGCAAACAAATGAGAGAGAGAGAGAGAGAGAGACGATCATATACGTGGAGTAGCTTCACCTCATCTTACTGTATAGATGTAAGTAAAAGTTCCAAATCGGAGAGTTAATTAAGAAATTCCTCACAAAGTTTATTAGGAGTTGTGTCATAACTCTTATTGCTAATTGGTTTTGGGGTTGAAACCTCAGCTTTCTTCATAGTACTGGATCATATATGCTTACATATTAAAGGAAGTTGAGTTTCCACTATAAAAATATTTGGTAATATGGGGAATAATCCAACTTACTTATAAATCTACGTAAGGTCCTTCCTCTTATTAATATGAGGTTCCACCATAAAACCAATTGACAATATAGGGAGTAGCTCAACTACTTATAAGTACATGCAAGGTCCTTCCTCTTATCAATATGAGATTCATTTTCAACACATCTAAAGTCCAACGATCACATCTGCTCAACGTCACCAAACCTAAAAGCTTAAGTTGTTAGGGAATTGACCAACGATAAAAGCTTAAGAACGTCCACATTCCCCACTAACATGGCATCATTTCACCATACAAAGGTCATAATTAGGATTGTTCATTCTCTTTATCATCTTCTAAAAATCATTTGTAATAAAACTCATTATGAGACTTTTTAGTCATCTATATGAATAAAAGAAATTGATTGGCAACTGTCGTCATGAAGGATGCAAAGTTAACATATGGATGGCTAAATGGTTTCATTATCGAATGATTTTTTTAAAGATGATTTTTAGATGATAATAAAGAGAATAAATGATTCTAATTAATTATAACATTTGAACGGTGAAATGATGTCACGTTAAATAGTGAGAAACTGAGAGCTTTCATCTTTACTGGGAATGGTGGAAGTATTAACTTGTATATCAAGCTGCAGACATAATCCATTACGAAAAATGTGATCAAACAATCTATTAAACCATGTGGCACGTGCATCACAGTGCTTATTTGCATATGAACCACAGGCAGATGATTCCAACATCCAAGTAGTAAAAGTACATTTATACTGTCAAGAAACTCGTGGATAACTTGAAAACCCTTCTAGTGGTTGACTTGATAAGGTGAAATTTGGTCCAGCAATGCATACAACCAAGATCTAGCTAGCTACAGCTGACCCTATATACACATCTTCAATTCATCCAAGCATCTTTTCGAAAAAAAACATAAATAAAATTAATTTGACACAGGTCCTTGGAGGAGAGAGTCAGAGCAGACCCAGGCCCTCCATGTTTCTCCTGATAGTATATTGGTGAGAGTATAAAGATTCCAGGACACCTACAAGCCATGGTTGATGAGAACTTGAGAATTAATTCTTATAGGCATCTTTTGTTTATTGGTGTGGATAAAACTGTTCACTATATTGAAGGTATTCTGAATATTGAAATGAATGACAACTTTCTTATTTTGTCCAAGTTAAATATTACTCATGAAAAAAAGTAATCTTACCATTTTTATGGGAATTAGTAGTGATAGAAACCCTCATTTGAAAAAAAAATGAAAGTTTTCATTCATTTCTTCTTTCAAACTGGCTTCACTATAATGAATATATATATATATATATAGACCTATCCACGCCATTCCTCTCTAACAAACAAGCCATAAGGAGCTGTATGTGCCAATTAATTTAAACTTACTGTTTTCAAGCTCATACGTACGTACGTAATGCATACATACATACATACATACATACATATGTATATATTCGTTTTGAGATTTGAAGGACATTTCAGTGAACTAACTCGTTATATTTTTAATTACCTGGATGACCATCTTACACCAGAAGCTCACGAGTATAAGGCACAGAAACTGTGACATTTTTTGTACCAAAGAAACGTG